AAATCACAATTTCTCATGGACTATAACCTACAACTTTGAACATTTTTTGCCAAATCATTTATTGTTTTCCCGCGTAGAAATTTATATATGAGAGCTTTGAAAATCATGGTTTCTCCTAAACTATAAGTCACAATTTTTGTCAGTTTTGGCCAAATCACTCTTTCTCGTGGACTATAACATATAATTTTGGTCATTCTTACCAAATCATTTCTTACTTTAAAGCATAAAAGTATTTGTGCGAGCTCCCAAATTCACTATTTTTTATGGGCTATAACCAATAATTTTGGTCATTTTGGCAAAACCACCTCTTGCTTTCTCGCATAGAAATATTTATGCAAGGCTACAACCTTCAAATTTCATGATTTTTCATGGGCTATAACCAACTTATTTGGTCATTTTGGTCAAATCACGATTTCTCGTAGACTATAACTCATAATTTTAGATGTTTTTTGCCAAATCACTTCTTGTTGTCCCGCACAAAAACATTTTTGTGAGCTTCCAACTTCACAATTTCTCGTGGACTATAACTCATTATTTTGGTCGTATTCGATCAAATCAAGAATTCTCATGGATTATTACCCATAATTTTGGTCATTTTGGCGAATTATTTCTTTTCCGTATAGAAATATTCGTGTGAGCTCCCCAAGTCACTATTTTCCCATGGATTATAACCAATAATTTTGATCGTTTTTGGAAAAATCACCTCTTGCTTTCTTGCATAGAAATATTTATGCGAGCTTCTAAATTCATGATATTTTTGGGCTATAACCAACTTATTTGGTCGTTTTCGATCAAATCATGATTTCTCGTAGACAATAACCCACAATTATGGTTGTTTTCACGCCAAAATCATTTCTTGCTTTCCCGAATAAAAATATTAATGCGAGCTTCCAAATTCACGATTTCTCGTGGACTATATCAATCAAGTCACGACTTCTCATGTACTATTAACCCACAGTTTCAGTCGTTTTTGGCAAGATCACTTCTTGGTTTCTAGCATGGAAATTTTTATGCGAGCTCTCAAAATCACGATTTCTCGTAGATTATAACCCACAATTTTAGTCGTATTAGATCATCTTGCATAAATATATTTATGTGAGCTGCGAAAATCACGAGTTCTCGAGGACTATAACCTACAAAGTTGGACGTTGTTAATCAAATAAGTTCTTGCTTTCCAAAAATTACGGTCTCTCATGGATTATAACTCTTAATTTTTTGTTGTTTCGACCAAATCGAGATTTTTCATGGACTATAACCTAAAATATTGATCATTTTTTTGTCAAAACATTCTTGCTTTCTTACATAGAAATATTTATGAATTCCAAATTAATGGTGTCTTGCGGTCATTTTCGGTCAAACCATGATTTCTTGTGAACTACAACCTACATTTTTTTATTTTTAGCCGAATCACTTCTTGCTATCCCGCATATGAATTTTATTGTTTTTTTGGCCAAATAACCTCTTGCTTTCTAGCACAGAAATATTGTATGAGCTCTCAGAATCACAATTTCTCGTAAACAATAATGACCCACAATTTGGGTCATTTTTTATCAAATCCCTTCTTAATTTCTTTCATAGAAATATTTATGCGAGCTCCCTAATTATTGATTTCTCGTGAACTATAACCTACAATTTTTATCATTTTAGGCCAAATTACTTCTTGTTTTCTTGCTTGCAAATATTAATTTGGCCTCATAAATTTACTATTTTTCTAAGGCTACTACCAATAATTTTAGTTGTTTTTGGCAAAATCACTAATTTTTTTCTACATAGAGATATTTATGGGAGCTCCTAAATTCATAATTTCTCAGTAAGCCAAATAATCAGTTTTTGGCCCAAGGCATTTCCTGCTTTCCCATATACAAAATATTGCAAGCTCCCAAATTCACGACTACTTGCGAACTATAACCCACATTTTTGATTGATTTTGGTCAAATTATTTCTTACTTTCTAATATAGAAATATTTGTGCGAGCTCCCAATTTCACTATTTCTCATAGACTATAGCTCATAATTTTGGTAGTTTTTTCCAAATCACTTCTTCCTATCCGCATAGAAATATCTATGCAAGCTTCCAAATTCATGATTTCTCATGCATTGTAACTCACTATTTTGATCGTTTTCAATCAAATCAAGAATATTATAGACTATTACCCCACAATTTTTGCCTGTTTTTGGCTAATTCACTTCCTCCTCTCCACAGAGATATATATATACGAGATCTCAAATTCACGATTTCTTGTCAATTATTACTCATAATTTTGATCGTTTTTGGCCAAATCATTTCTTGCTTTCTCGCACACACATATTTATGCGAGCTCCTAAAATCATGATTTCTCATGGACTGCAAGTCATAATTTTAGACGTTTTTTTGTCAAATCACTTCATGCTTTCCCACATACAAATACTTATGCGAGTATCGAAAATTAGGAACTTATGGTTTGTAGTGGAGTATAACACATATTTTGGTCGTTTTCGATCAAATCATGTTTCCTGGTAGATTATAATCCACAAATGACCAAATTATTTCTAGCCTTCCCACAAAGAAATATTTGTGCGAGCTCCCACATTCATTATTTCTCGTGGATTAACCCCTAATTTTAGTCATTTTTAGTCAAATCATTTCTTGCTTTCGCACATAGAAATATTTATGCGAGCTTTGAAATTCACAATTTTTCGTAGGCTATAGTCCATTTATTTCGTTGTTTTCGGTCAACTCATGATTTCTCGTGGGCTATATAACCCACAAGTTTGGTCGTTTTTGACCAAATCACTTCTTGCTTTCTTGCATAGAAATATTTATGTAAGCTTCCAAATTCATGATTTTGCGTGGACTATAGAACCCACAATTTTGGTTCTTTTTGGGCAAAACGTCTCTCGTTTCTGCATAGAATAATTTATGTGAGCTTCCAAAATCATGATTCCTTGTGGATTATAATCCACAATTTTGGAAGTTATTGGTCAAATCACTTTGTGCTTTCTCATAGAAAAATATTTATGCGAACTACAAAATTCTCAATTTCCCATAGACTATAACCCACAATTTTGATTGCTTTTGGCCAAGTCATGATTTCTAGAGAACTATAAACCACAATTTTGGTCTATTTTTGGCTAAATCACTTGCTTTCCTTTATATAAATATTTATGCGAGCTTTTAAATTATGGATTTCTCATGGACTATAACCCACAATGTTTAGCATTTTAGGTCAAAACACTATTTATTTTTCCGCATAGAAATGTTAATCAAATATTTATGTGAGCTTCGATAATCATGATTTCTCGTGGACTACAACCCATAAATTTGGACGTTTTTAGCTGAGTCACGATTTGCCAAAGACTATTACCCACAATTTCTGTCGTTTTCAGCTTAATTATGATTTTTCTGAATTTTAGTCATTTTGGGCCAAACTACTTTTTATTTTCCTGCATAGAAATATTCATGTGAGTTCCCAAATTTATAAGTTTTCATGGACCATAACCCACAATTTTGATCGTTTTCGACCATATCACAATTTGTTCTGGACTATAACACACAAATTTAGTCATTTTTTGGTCAAATCACTTCTTCCTTTCTCGCATTAAAATATTTATGCGAGCTTCCAAACTCACAATTTCTCATGGATCCCTCTATTAAAATGAGCGAGTCATTGCAATAATAGCACTTAAGTAGTACCAAAGTGTAGTATAGTTAGCATTACCCAGCTAAAAACAATATGTAGAAACTTAAACATTCTAGATTTTGTCTTCTCATGTTAAAACAAGTTTAAACAACTATAATGTTAATTATCTTGGTTCTAATGTAAGCTAGAATTGGAGGCAGAAAATGAAAAAAGTAGCATAAAGAGATCAAATAGATCAATCAGAGACGTAATTTTGTTCGGGCAGTAATCAGAACAATTGCAGGAAGTCTAGGAGGGAAAGGAACGGAATAAAACCATTGTGTTATGGACTACTTGAAATGTTTAATAATTTAAATGACAATTTTGGTTACGAAAAGAATACTAACCGTTTGGTTTCCTACAAATGAATCTAACGTCACTTGCAACAACAACAACAATTATGATAACATTGATTCATTAAAATTGCAAGACTAGTACTAGATTTTCCTCCACTTGTAATTTAAATTTCCCACAAAAAATTAAGTTGTCTTTTAGAACCATATAATTAGCAAAAAAAATGTGGGATGCTGTGATTTAAAACCGTTCAACAAGCTCGAAAAGCTTGCAATCTAGCTTACTACAGTTGAGCATTTTTTCCAACTGCAGTTGCGATTTAAATCTCGGCTATACAAAAAATAACAGCAGCATGGGTATGTATACCAATGTACAAGAACGTTAAAAGGCCCTTGAAACTACAGGAACAAGATTCTAGCTGTGAAGGATTATGAGAAGATAGGTAAAACTAAGAACTATATAAAAGCAATTTGTACAATGCGCTTGGAATAACATTCCGTGTGGGAGATGCATCAATCAGAAAGGGAACTTTTAAAGCCTATGAAAAAGTCAGTACTGAGTCTAGGGTGTATGTAAAAAAAATGCATAGCAACAATTCTCATGCTTATCCTCGATTTGAATCACAAGAATTAAAGCCTTTACTCTACCAATCATGATTCTGAAAAAACATAAGAAAAAGATAAATAAGCCAAAAAATTAACATTTTCAAACACTTTCATGAAGTTTATTTAGAGAAGGTGGCAGTAAATTAATGTTAACCAGGATGAAAAAATGAGCACGGAGACTTGTGTGTATATGATTGCATAGTATTAATTCTCATTATTATCCTAATTTAAATCTGAAGAATAAAGCCTTTATTCTCTCACTCATGGATTCTGAAAAACAGATGAAAGAAATAAAATGAGCCAACAAATCAAACAGTTACATGAAGTTTACTAGAGAAGGTGGCAGCAACTTAATATTAACCAGGATGAGTTTTATGAATGCAAAATTTCCTACACAGAACAAAAACACTAGAACTTCTAAATAGCTTAAAGCATGTATGCACCTGATTTCTCGTATAAGAACTATTACCGCATGGCGCTTGACTCTCCCGATGTTGAACGGTTCTTGCATCAAGAATGCAAAACTGTGAATAAGTTGATTTTAGGTTGGCACACTCCTGAATTTTCAATTTGCATAGTTGTTTTTTATTCTGCAACAAAAAGAAGACTGCTTGGGACTAAATCCACTTCAAAATTAAATTTTAAAAAAAGCTAATTACTTTAAAACACACCGATAAGTCATCTAGCTTCATTTTCTTTAGCTGCAATTTTGCTTTCTGATACACAAGTTTATCCAGTAAGGATCTTGCTTCAGCAACTCTGCATAGAAATAACAGTTAAGTAATTGCTAACTACGTTTACCATACAAAATCGACCAATTGGCCTCAGCGATGACAACAAATGGACATTCAATTTCAAAGGTCTAACAGTATCACCTTTTCTTGTGGTCATCACCCGAACAACTGAGATTTTTCTGCATTAACATTAAAATTGCTCATTAATGATATATGCAAATCAAATTATTGCTAAATTTGCAAGTTGTCTAGAAGTAACATCATCAAAAACTATCAATGGTAAGGTTAACTGTAATCAACGAGGCATTAGTTGTAGAGAGTTTATACAATGCAATGAAAATTCAGCTATTTTGCATACCACAGAAGTATAAAATCTCTGGTACTTTTTAGCTATTTGCACCTCGCCCAGTATATCTTCCAAGATGTCAAGCTTAAAAAAAAAAAAAAAAAAAAAAAAAAGGCAGCTGAGTTATCAGTCAAGTAGGCAATATGTTAAGAAACATAAGTAATTAGAACTAGATATACTTTAGTCATCTAATACTTTGTAAAACATAGAAGGTTATACACTATAGTGATGAAAACACAATGCAAATATAAATCAGATTATATATGCATACATACATGTGTGTGTGTATAGAAAGAGTAAACCACCAACATATCCATACAAGTATTTCTAGGTTGCTTTGATTTTATTATTTCATGCAATGCCCATTCAAGAGATCTCTAGCCTGTAGCGTTGCAGACCCTTTCAAACATCAACTCCATCCAGACTGATCACCAGTTCACTCAGAGCCCATAATACAAATCTAATCTATATAAGATAGCGTCTTCATGTCTTTCTAGCTTTCAATGTTAACTACATACTTCAATAAGCTCATCATCACTGTATTGCATATGATGTTGACATTATGTTCCTTAAATTTAATATATCTCCACAGGACCACAAGGTTGGGTGTTTGTACCTTTCAGTACTTATTACTTCGAATAAGCTCACCATTACTGGACCTCATACAATATGATATTTATTCCTTTAAACCAATTTTGCCTCTTTTATCTTCTCATTTACTATATAACAAGGTTTTAAATATCGGCCGACATATCGGTTTGAGGGCTTGACCGACACGACATGAACGTTTTCAACTCGTATGTTGGTTTTCAGGGTCAAATCGGAAATATCATGGTCATATTGGGTATATCGGCTTATTTTTTAGCTTTGAAAAATCGGCTGATATGGTACTTTTTTTTTAAGATCTGTTTTCTGTTATCGGGTTTGGGTTTAGTGATAAATACCCAAACCTGTTTGCCTCGTTCTCATGTTTAAGGGTTTCTTATGAACCCGATAGAAAGAATTATGAACCCAAATTCATATATTATTTACTTTTTTTATATGTTTAGTCTATAGAATTTATAAAGTATGCTTATATTGAATTTATGTTTTTTATATGTTTAGTCTATAGAATTTATAAAGTATGCTTATATTGAATTTATGAATGTTTAGATTACATTTAGGACATGATATTATTTTATAAAGTATGCTTATATTGAATTTATGAATGTTTAGATTACATTTAGGACATGATATTATACATATACGCACTACCCGATATGGCAATCCGATATTTAGTCAATGTCCTCCGATATATCCCCGATTTTCGCTATCAGACATGGATTTCAGCCATCCGACATGAACCCGACATCCGATATTTAAAACCTTGCTATATAATGGTACCATATAATACATTAATGTCTACTGTCTAGCTTAAGCAATTTATATAATGTAATGAAAGCAGTACCATACAATTTTCACTATGCAAATCATGTTCTACAGCAAGTACTTTTTGAAAGAAAAATATGCCTGCAGATGGGCCACTGGTACCAGTGTGATGGAAATAACAAACCTCAACTGAGCTAAGCTTAGAAATTGAGGAGGAAAAGGGTTGCTTTGTGGCCTCAGATACCTTGGAGAATATCTGCAAGATCAATCTGAATGTGAGATCACTCTAACAAAAACGGAAAGTTTATTACACTTATTTTAGATGCCTTTATAATTTGTAGCATATATAAAATGAAGAAACACTTTACGGATATGATAAAACAAGTAAACAGAAATATATATTTGCATACATCACTCCAATGCTTTCCTGGTCCTTGGCCTCCATTTACCACTGGGCTTCCAATGCACTTGACATCATGTCCCAAAGAAACCCTAGAATTACTACGTTCATCAGGCAAGACTTTCGGACTCTTTTGAATCCTGCTAACTTCACTGAGATGATCTTCGTCAGTAACAAGTATCTGTTCAATACCTCTTTTCTTCTTGTAGAGCCCAGTTTGAACAGAATGAGATTCTTGTGCAGATTGTGAATCCTGACAGTGGAGGTCCTTATCACGAAGGATAGGATCTAGAGTTGATTTATTGGGAAGTGGCTCCTTCGGACTAATAGAAGTTGGCATGTTGCTATCACCATCAGTCTTGCTCTTAGGACTTTGTAAGGTCACCTCAGCCAAGAACTGCATGTGAAAACCATTTTCTACAAATTAATTAACATTTACATTAAGGTTGACCATTAACATAAACACACTAAAAATTAAATGTCACTGATCTCAGAATGAACACATGCACTGCTTATACAAGGAAGGTGGACGCAACATGTATGCCAATTGGTGAAAGTATATTCAATAACCTGAGTTGAAACATTTACAGATGCTTGCAATTTGCCGGCGCCTTCTGAAGGAGGTTCACTGGTAGAAATTGTGTTTCCTACAGACAAATTATCTTCCATATTCACCAAGTGTTTCTGCATCACAGTGCTTTCATCTTGATTCCCAAGGTGATGGTTCCTAGGCCCTTCTGTTTGCCCCTGGAGTTTCTCCAACTCTTGGGGAATTTGCAGTTTACGTACTTTGACAGAATTAGGTCCGCTGAAGGACTTGGAAGACTGTAATTTATTCCTCTCAAGTGAGAAACTCGAATTACTTGTTCCATAAACAGCTGGAGACAAATAACCTCCATGGGATGCAGATAGTTTATCTCCAAACATTACAATAGGAGAGGAAATATTAGCATTTGGAGTATCCAGTATCTGACTAGATTCCTTGACTGTCATGTGTCTTACAGATGAATCATGTACATCCAATGCAGGGACTCGTTCAGTATGGTTGTCCAAACTAAACAGATTCTCCTTCCCATTTGTTTCTCGTTGAGACAGCTGATCTGATGATATCCCTTTAGACAATTTAACGGATCCAACAAGATCATTTTTCTCTAAGTTTATCAATGCACTTACATTGCTTTTGGTAGGAGATACTGAATAATTCAACTGAATACCAATACTCTTTGCACTGCCCTTATCACCCTTTGGGCTATCTTTTTTGTTGTTGACACTCATCCCGGCACCATAACCATCATCATTATTTTTTTCCAGTGTACCTTCAAGCTCATGTGGGGTAGGATCCTTCTCTGACAATCTTAGCCTAGAACCACCAATGACTGGGGATTTATGAATTATAGACTTTGGGATCTTAATAGCAGAGATGCGGTCACCATGTTGTATAAGTTTCATCTTCAAAGAAGATAGAGACTCTTCTTTGTCAGGGGTATGAATCAATCTATTTCGGGACAGAATGGAAGGATCAAGAAACAGCTGCTGCCGCTTACTACGAAGAGAGGATACAGACCCTGGAAATGGAGACTCAAGTGGTTGCAAGGCATTTTGAGGGGTTTGCATTCCATTTTCAGATAATAATTGCTGCTGATCATTCAAATTCATCAACGTAGGAAGTATTGGCATGGAATGAACTGAAGGATCCAAGGAATGTTTGTTTCCATTTACTTGGTCTCGAAAAAGTTCCAGGTGAAGCTGACCAGAGGTTAAAGTCAAACTGTTTTGGGATTTTATATTAGGAGGTGAGAGCGTATCAGTATTTTGAAGATCTTTAGACCCAGCAACGGACTGAATTTGCTCATAGACACCCTTAGAGTAGCCATCAGACTTGGGAGTAAAGGTAACCTGCAAGTGCCATTGTTCACAGAACTTCAAATAAGTCATCACAACCAGTGGAAATTATATTCTGTATCATAAACACATAGCGTCCATGATGTGATCATTACTAATTATATGTATGTCATCTATGTGAGAAAACCAAGAAAATACGAAAATTGAGCAGACACCAGCAAATAAAATAAAAGTAAGATAATGGAATTAACTGCTGGAGTTTTAAAATAATTGATGAATTAATCAACTACAAAGATTCTTCAAATGTCAATAGTATGTGCAGCGTCACCAAGAGTTGCAAGAAGTGACCAGAAGAAAACATTGAAAAAAAAGTAGCTCTTATACGTTATAATTGATGTAGGCCAAACAGTGTAAAAGTGCTTTTCAAGTTCGACATAGAAACCCAAACGCCTTTCAGAACATTGCCAATAGATATACAACATTCTGAATATACTTTCTGCTTTTCATAGAACAAGTCGTGACAACTAAGCTAAAATTGACACGCTTCTGAAACAAGAACAAAAAAGTAAACTCTACCGAGACAATAGATTTCATAATGCTACTAGTAGCTGACATGACTGTAAAGTCTCCAATACAATGCCACACTTAAGCGCATAGTAAAAACAGAATATGCAAAGATCCATAAGATACAGACAAAATGTTCGAAATATATGATAAAGTCAATTAACTAGAAACCATCACAATTTAATGCAAAATCTGCAGAATGTTATTTAATAAACATGGATTATAGAGTATGGTGACAAAATCAGGACCATCCATACAAAGAAGACAGATAAGAACAATATTCATAATCCATTCACTGAAATACGGTCTCTATCTTATTTGAAGATGAAACTAGTTCGAATATGAGCTTGGGTGGACATAAATGTCAATTAGAGGCAGTATTATTGATTTCTTGAAGATGATGATAACTAATATTTATAATACCAAAATGTGTATCGTGATATCAATTAAAGACAGAGGCAGTATTTTATATTTCTTGAAGATGATAACTGATATTTATAATACCATAACTGATATTCGATCAAGTATGTTAATGTGGTACTATTTGTATGTTAATATGGTATTATTTGCAAAACTTAGTAGTTATTTTCCTTCTTCCTGCCTGGTTTACTTTCTTGAGACTGCTCCACCATTTCTATATATTTACTATCATGAAAATTCATATTTTGCACATATTCTACAGTGTAGTATGTTGTAGGGGATCAAAACTCAAACCAAATTTCAACTGTTTCAATGAGCAAAGGCAAGAGAACCAGTGCCTGGAATCAGATCAGAAGGACCTTCCTGGGCTTTAGCCTATGACCCAATTACCAATTTCTGTGTCTTCTTAGCATCTGATAATTCTGAGATTTCCTTTTCCTTTAATTTCTTCTTTCTTGATTGATGGTTTTTCTATATTTCAAAGTTAAACATTCAACCTAAGTTTCAATAAACTAACATGACTTTTGGACTTATAAGAAAACTACCATGAACTTTTATGTCCATGCAACTGCAAAGTTCATGGTGGATTTCTGAATAAGGAAGTTTCCCGGGGAAAATGTGGGTAAGCTTTTGGCATTTACATGAAAAAAGTTATGGTAGTTTTTTATAACAGACCAAACCCATCGTAATTTCTTGAAATTTAGCCTATTTAAAATACTTTACTATGACGGGTGAAGAGACAAACAAAATCATAGCAGCTAAAACACCTGAAATCTTTTCTCATTTTGGACTGTGTGGTAACTAACTCAATTCTAATACATCAAATCTTCAAAAAAGGTATTATTCTCCATCAGAATCATCCCATTGCACCATTCATTAAAGACAGCAATATGTGGAGTATTAGTATCTTTGATACAATCAAGGACCATTTACCCGTCTCAGATCATGTATATGCATGGTTTGTTAAGTTTCGTACTAAAATATAGCACAAAGGATATCCAAAGGTCTAAACAGTATCTCACCTGGGCTTTTGCATTCGAGGCTTCTATAGGTATACGTGATACCGTGTTATGAGAAGGGGTCACATTCCCATTCTGCTCACCATCAGTGCCCACTGAATGGCCTTCTGGAAGGTCTGAATCAAAACAAGCATCATCAGCTATACCTGTCAGATTCACTCTATGGATATGCATTTCATCCTTTGCACAGTCTTCTATGACTGCAGGTACAATATTATCATGCCGGGATTTTCTGGTTCCACTTCCACTAAATGGAGAGTTAGATTGCATGTGCTCGTTTGCTGCAGCTAGCAATGCCTCCAATGTGGGAGACATCTTTCCATAGTGATCATAACTTTCTGGATCTTCCACTACAAGGCTCATGTTACTCGAGTCACCAACACCAGCACTGTCACTCATTTTTCCATCAAAAAACTTGCTTTGACGGACATCCTCCTTACATCCCTTGGATATCACAAAGCCACCGAAATCAGTAGGCACAGATTCTCCTGTTGGTGTCCTGAAGCTACCTGCAGAGTTGGCTGAACGATCATCTGGTGGAACTACATTCTGGAAATGCAATGAGAATGCAGTGGAATCCAATGTGATATCATGGTTGTTATCCTCTGACATTCCAGCCTCAGAAAGCCGGCCAGATTTAATAAAACTTGTCGATACAGGTCCAAAGAAGTTATCATCTGCAAAGGTAAAAATCAAATAGGTCGATAAAGGAATTCCAAGCTCCAAATAACCAACACATGTTGAAGAAATGAATATTTAAAAGAAGAAAATAACTTATAACCACAAGCCCCAATAAAATTTGAAACTTTCCTCTGCTTATCCTTTGCATTGATCAGTAGGCAACTTACCTAAGGTAATGCAATTAAAAAAATAAAGCCAAGTAATCAGAACTAAATATCCTCCAAACTAGATATTAAAGAGTATCCGAAGGATATTCCTAAATTATCTTTTAGTTGTTTAGATGGGAAAAAAAAACCCTAAAAATTCTCTAAGAAACGTAAAGCCTTTCCAACAATAAAATACCAAAATTCAACATTTTATACCATCATTGGACGTCACCGATCCAAAACCGCTCCCAGGCGAAGACGAATCCATGTCCCTAATAAACCTCTCCTGCTCTCCATCATCATCCTCATCCTCATCCTCATCCTCACGCGCTGATCCCCTTGAATCATCGCTACCAAACTGAAACTGATCACCTCCAAGCCCTAGCTCCCCGCTTCCAACATTCCATCCTTCAGATTTCGTTTCAGGCGGAGTTTCGAAATCCTCGTCGCGGTCGAAGACATGGACAGCGGTGGTCTCAGCGAAGCTCACGCGGCGAGATCGCTTCCGAGCGATGGTGAACTCGTCGGCATCGCCACCGCCGGCGCTGCCGGGATCGATGGGTTTCGGATCCATGAATAGATGTTAGCGACTTTAGAGGGATTTTAGGGTTAGGGTTTTGGGAGACGTTGGGGTTTTTTTTTTGGGGGATTTGGAGGGAAAATGCGTTTTCGATATTTTTATTTATTTATTTATTTATTTATTTATTTTTAAACGAGAGTAGGGGATATATGTGAAGTGGCTTTGGGAGTGTCCGTCGCGTGAGGGCAACGCGGGTCTTTTACAGTTTTACCCCCTAGATTTCTCTTTTTGCTCTTCGTTTTATGCAATAGTCGCTTCATTTAGTTTTACTTTGCAATGTTGTTCCATTCATAATATTGACCTTGTTTTCTTTATAGTAATGTTGTAATATTATAATTTTCACGGTTGTATGTCTATTATAAAGTTAGATAGTAAATCAAAGTATAAAAGTCAGAAATATGAGCAGAGATCGTATCAAAAACACTTTTATAAAAATGGGGATCGAGTAGTCACAATTTCCAAACTATCCATCTTTCTACCCGTGAATGGTATAGATTGTCCCATTTTATTGGTTGTTCTAATAGAATCTTTACTCAAGGAAAACCCTTTAAAGGCATGGGTTATCAAAAAAATTCTCTTTAAGTTTAATGATTTTCTAAAAAATGTTAACCATAATTTTAACTATCAAAATTATCCCCTCGTGTAATTTTACTCCTATTCATCCATGTGATTTTCTTATTTTTGAAAGTAATGGAAGGTTATCTTATAGTTGTCCAAAGTTCTAATATTTAGTTTAAGTTAAAATAACAAGATGATATGATCGCATTCTTAAAAAATAGTATCATTAGATAGTAGATATATAATATCACTTTCTAACACATAAGAGATGAGTTACTTTTTTATTTAGTGCAAGAAGAGGTGTCTTTATTAATAAGAAAGAATAGTTATTTTTCAAAGATCAAAAGCATAGAGAAATCGTAAAAAATTGAGAATTTATAATTAAATTTCATAACAACTTAAAAGATTTAAGATTATTTTCACACAAAAGAAGATTAGAGACAATAAAGCATAAAAACATAAAAAAATAATATCTAAACGTAAGGGGGGGAAAGGAAACATGCATTGCCACTCGTCAAATTCTTGCAACGAGACACATTTGTGTAAGATAAATATGAAAAGACGAGGGCCTTTATAGCAAAAAAAAACTTGCGATTAAACACCTTAATTAATGAATTTATCTGCAAAAGCTCTCTCTCCCTCTGCGTTATCCTTTTGGGAAATGGAGGCTCTCGCGATCAGAACCCTGTCGCCGATCAACTCCAAATCCCAATCTCCAAGGTATTTCCTTTCATAAACTGTAGCTAGCTAGGTTTAAGATCAACAACAATTATATTATGTCAATCTTTTGGGGGTGGGGACTGTGAATCCTGCAGAAATTGCTTTGGATATTCTAAATTATGTTGCTTAACTAGGGTTTTAGAACCGGATTCTATGAACATGCGATTTCTAGGGCTATGGAGAATACAAATTTTCACTTTGAGTAGCCATTGCAGGTAATGGAGATTCACTGTAAATTTGATGCCAACCTTTGATGGTGCCGATTCTCGGCTAACGTAACTCTACGAAAGAGGATCTGGGGATGCACATATGCTAAAGAAGACACTTTTAGGAAAGCACACCTCGTGTTACATGGATGTCAAGTATGCTAGTGTCGCACGTAGGAACCCTCCGAAAATCATACGGGAACACGATTACGATTCATGGACGTGCATGCAAATATGTGCATGACCATGTATCTAGTGAATAATTAGCCGCTGTAAGTTTAATGTTGGTATCTCGTGTAAAGCTCCCAAGCTCGCAATTGAAATTGTGATAATGACGTCCTCTATGTCCGAGAGTCTGACGCGTGGGGGAAGGGGGGGGGGACTTAAAATTTGAAGTGCCCCTGGTAATATTAAGCATATGCCAACCTGCTGGCCTCGGTATTTATACTCATGGAGAAACAGGGATTCAGTCTGCAAGCCTTCTGGACTGAGAAGATTCTAGAGCGTTAGAGAGGGCTTCTTGTCAGAAGCTTAGCTACGTAACAAATAATTTCACTTGTAGGACATACAATAGCCAATAGTTGAAGCAGATACCAACAGATAAACTGGATGTGCATCAGATGCTAAGGAAGAGTATATCAAATGGCATGTTATATGTATCTGAAAAATATGATGGACAGCATGTCAGCAGCATCCACTAGAGGCCCTTCAGGATCTCCATAAACTCAGAAGTACTGTTCATACATGGCCAACTTAACGTAAGAACTTACAGGACGATGATATAAACTGGATGTGAAAAATTACTGGACATTTTGAACATGATAATTGATGTTCTTCTCTAGAGAAGTCTCCACATTTTTCTTACATGCGAATTGAGCATTTGTTGGACAGGATGAATGTATTGTTTTGCTAATCATTTATATACATGCTCTGGTAAGTAATCTTAATAAAATTTCCGATAACAACTATCATCTGCATTGTTGATTATTTTTGCTAGCAATCACTTGTAACAAATTCAAATGACCCATAATATGGGGATTCTCTTGCCCAGCATGCCCATATGTTATTGTTGGTCAACCATCATCTTGATGTTTAATTCTTGCAAAACTCTAATCAATTTGTTATTTCTCAACCGAGGCACATCCATTTTACCATATTTACCACCTGCTTTCTTTGTTTGGGCCATCTTATCTACATTAATGTAATATATAAAATTTTTGGGTCATCTTGCCAACATAATCTGAAAAAAAAGGGGGGGGGGGAGAAAATTGAAGAGAGAGGAACCTTTGGAACCTCCTTGTGTCGGGGGGGGGGGGGAGAAAATTGAAGAGAGAGGAACCTTTGGAACCTCCTTGTGTCGCTGGATCCTCGAGGTATAAAGTAGCCTTCTTTGTGCTCATCTCTCCTATAAACTCCTCAGTCACTCAAAGTACTCAGTCTTAGTGCATGAATATGTGTGAGATGATCACTGTATTTACCGAGTCAGACCGATCTATTATTGGAATGTTATTATCTTTTGCTTTTAGGAAGCACAATCTTTGTGTCTTTTTTGGTGGTATAATCCATCTGATATGATGGAGCTATTGTAGTTTTTCTTTCCTTCAGCAACTTTGTGGAGAAAAGGGAGCCCAAAAGGAGTTCATTGAAGGATTTGCTTAGAGATTTTTCTTCTAAAAAATTCTGTGGAATGTCAAGGAGGAAGTTGCTTTTAGAAACTGTTGCCCTTGGTTCTTCAATTATGCTCATCAGTCCTGCTATTTCTATGCCATTGCAAGAAGCAAATGATTCTGAAACGATCAGGTAATGTAACTTATTAGTTGGGATCACATAATTGTATTAAGAAACTTATTCAATGGAGATAAATTTCATTTTACTTGGTAGCATCCATCTAAGTGATATGGAGAAAAACAAATTGCAGGGAAATTTAACTATTTGTTTTGTATTCACAAATCTTGTTCTCAAGGATATGTCCATTTTCATTTTGAAGTTTTCAGATATCAGAAACTGAATACTGGGGTAAAAATTCAAGGTAAACCGGAATTTATACATTGAGCAACATTGTTTGATTGTTAGAATCTTCATTTCTCATCAGCGAATTGAATGTTTTACATTTCTCTTTTTTAAGATGTCATCGAAGGTGAAGGACCAGAAGCACAGGAAGGAGATCTAGTTGAAATTAACTATGTTTGTCGGCGGTCAAATGGGTATTTTGTGCACAGGTAAAGTACAATGTGGATTGTTTTGTTAAATTACGCAAATATCTGTAGCCTACAGTGAATCTCTAAGAAAGAAGACTTAGCAAAGGCTAAAGGAAAAGAAATGATAGTGTCTGGAATTCAGTTTGATCTCATCCAGAGAACTCTACCATGAAATTTTGTTTGCTTACTGAGATGGCTAATGAAAGATTTAAGATTTAGAGCAGGGTTATTTAGATATCAGTCCCTCAAGCCTTCGTTAATTCCATATCAGTCCCTCAAATCCTATGGGGTCTTGCAATTTGGACCCTCAATGACCAAAGTGCCCCTAGTTATGTTTCCCCTTCCAAAATCCATCTTGTTCAAATTGGACTTATTTGCACTCGGGAACGTTGCACAATTTTTTAAATTTTAATTGCCCAAAGTTTAAAAGAAAAACACTTGATACCCTGAAGTTTACACCACAACATTGATACCTTAAAAAAAATTGACGCTTTGTTGTGACACGTTTATACTTTTTTAACTTTGATACGTCAAAGGTTTGTTTTGACACTTTGATACAAACTTGGGTTGTGGTATCAAAGTTTAAAATGTGAAAACTTTGAGGTATAAAATTAAAAATGTGTAAAGGTTGGGGCATCAAAGTGTTGGAAAAAACATTGGGGCATCAATGTCAAAAAAGTTGCATACTTTAGAGTACCAAATTGCAAATAACCCTTAAAAAAACATTAGGTGAGGGTATTTTGGTCATTGAGGGACCAAATTGCAAGAACCTTAGGATTTGAGGGATTAATGAGCAATTACTGAGATTTGAGGGACTAATATCTAAATAACCCTTTAAACAAAAACAAAGAAGTTCCACATGTGAGTATTGCTCATTAAGAGAATTTATTATAGGGTCTCTAGGAAGATTGTGCGGTAGTTTTTTTATTTTATTTAATAACAAGTATCTAATAGTTATCTTGACATGATTAATGCTCATATGGTGGAGTAGTGGCGCAAACAATTGGAGGTGATTTGGATTGGATCCTTTCCTTATCATCACCAAATACTTAGAGTTATCAAGTCATTATCTCTTCATATTACAGAGTAACTGATAACTAGTATTAAGTTTCTGTTTCTCAATTCAAGGCAATTATTTGATGCTATTATGCTCTATTTTGACTTGTAGTACTGTGGACCAATTTAGTGGGGAAAGTAGGCCGGTCATACTTCCTTTGGATGGAAATGAGGTTTGTTGATTTTTATTTGATTTCTATCGATGTTGGTCAAGTGCGAAAATCTATTATAATATGCTGAGTTTCAGTTCTGCTTCCAAATCATTGATAAGGACTGTGAGGGTGTAATTTGCAATTGATTCACTTACATAAACTCGACGTGGTTATCATTGTGTTGAATTACAACATATGAAGCTAATCTTGTTTCTTGTTACTATAGATAATTCAAGGTTTAAAAGAGGTTTTGGTTGGCATGAAGGTTGGAGGTAGGCTCCTGAAATCATGTGTGCTATAACTTTTCCAGCTTCTTTATTGTTCTTCCTACAACGATTGCTTACAGTGTTTTTTATCATCATCTTTGTTAAACCAACCCATTTTCTTTCTCAAAGTTAAATAGCTTACTTAAGAGGTTGTCGCTACGCATATATTTAATCACAATATTTAGTCTTATTCCTTCACTTCATGCTTCAGCAAACATAGAAGTAAAGCTTTTCCAAAGAAATCTTCTTGAGCTTTCTTTGTTAACTTCTCATTTCAGCCAGAAAAATCCTTGTCATGCGCTGGCAGATACTGGAACTAACACAAAGTTATAAAGGCTGTCATTAAATACTCTCGAAGTTGTTTGCTATTTTAGCTTTTTTACCTCTTTATGGCACCAATTCATATGTAAACACGAATGGTGCATATGGGGAGATCTGAAACAACTTCCCCCGTGTAAATCACAATCATTTGGTTTTAAGTTGAATAATTTTGAACTTGCAGAAGGTTACTTTTAAGTAAATTGGTATTTCTCTTTAGATGATTGGAGGTGCCATACTTCTACTTAAAAACATGAAGAAACTCGAGCTTTTTTCCCGATAAGTGTCTGATTCGTGTATTATTACGAGAATCAAAATGCATCTTAAATAAGGGAGGGAATCTGAACAAACCTACTGCAAAAGTAATAAATTAGTAAGTATCATAATTGGCAGCAATGAACTTTATATCTCAATAACCAACATATCCCTCCCTTTTATAGAAAGATAAATTGGTTGCTTCTCTTTAAGTCTCTCATTTTAAATAATTAACATGTGTCTTACTAAGCATGACATATGAACACCTAATTCAATCAAAACTTGACATGTGGACACCTAATCTGATATTCACCTATAAATCCTCATCAAATTAAAAATATCATGATTAGAAAATTCAAATGATCAAACATTTGGTAATCCTAATAAAGTCATAACTATCCATGACTAAAAAAGATTTAGTTGAATAATGTTTAAGGAAAAAATGAGTTGCGATAGAAAAATACAAACAAAACCCTAAAAGATTAAAAAAACTACAAAAAATCCTCTGACAAATCTAAAATGGCAAAAAAGCCCCCTGCAAATCACAAACATGCCCTAAAAATTCAAAAATTATAAACAATCCCCTGATAAATTAGAAGAATACAAACAACCCCCCTGAAAACTCGAAAACTGCAAACAACCCTCTTTAAAATTTATAAATTACAAACAACCTTCCTATAAAATCTAAAAATTATAAACAATCCCCCAAAAATCTATAAATTTTAAACCCTTGAAAATATAAAAATTACAAACACCATTAATAAAAACATAAAAAAATACAAATAACCGTCTGAAAAATATGAAACTACAAACAACATGATGAGAAATCTAAAAATTGCAAACATATCCTTAAATTTTGAAAATTTAGAAAAGGACCCTGAAAATTCAAAAATCACAACCAACCTCCTTTAATATCCAAAATCTACAAACATCCTCCTAAAAATCAAAAAATTACAAACAAACCCTTGAAAAATAATCTGAAAATTATAAAGAAACATTATTGGGAGCTTCTGCTGAAAGTCACTGGGGTTAAGTGATAAAATTTAAACTTAAGAGGGGTTTTATGCTAAAGTTTATTGAGGGGGTATTTTCATCATTTGACCACACAATTGAATTTTAGAAGCATGGACATTACCAAAAAAGAAACTCTTTGAGAACATAGGATACTAATGAAAGAAACCAGACTCACATGTGCAAACACCAACATAACACTTGTCTATCTAAACATGAAATTTCAAGGTTGTGATGCTTATGGGAAAGGATTAATGTTTCTTTTTAAAGCTTGGCTGATTTCTTTTTCTTGCATGGTTGGGATCAATTTCAGGCAAGAGGAGAGCACTGATACCTCCAAATGTCGGGTACATCAATGAGACCCTGAAACCAATCCCTGAGGAGGTATGACTTCTAATTACTTTTTTCATTGGGTTAGTTACAGATACACTCCATGTACTATGATTATACCTCCTAAGCTATTTCATTAGCACTTACACACTTTGAACATTGACACAAAGACGACGTTACTTTTTCACCCTCAATTTAAAAAGCAATTTAGTCTTCTTTTTCTCCCCGCCAGTCAATCTGAGCAGAAGGTAATATATCAATGGTGTTCTCTGACGTTTATGGGGTATAAGCTCTAACAAAATAGTGTTTAGAGTATCAGTGGCTGACATTCTCATAATACAGATGGTATATCTGCAATTAACATTCTATTTTTATTTCGGCTTACAACGAGTATAAACATTTAAAGTGATATACATTTAAAGCTGACTTTTCAAGGACAAATTAATTTTCTAGGAGGTCGTGCTTCATATTTTTGAAATAGCATTGATGACTTCAAAATATATTGATCTGATTTATGATATTAAGTTTTCTGAAAAATGCTTGCTGGTTTCTGTTTACAGTTTGGCCCTCGGAGGAGCCTTCTTTCACACGCAAATGAGCCATTAGTTTTTGAGGTTCAGCTCTTAAAGGTTCTCTGAGTCAAATGCATATAATTCTTTTTCATTTTCTTTTTTCCCCCCTCTTATTTTAAGGTATAAACCCTCTCTAAAAGAGTTGTAAATTTATGCACGTAATTCTGAAAAGAAGCAACTATTATGACGTTGGAAATTCAAAAGTGTTTGAATTAAAGGTTGTCAAGAATGCCAAACGGATGAGTTTATATTCAATTGCTTTAGAGAGGTCATATTTTACGAAGTTAGGATTAATAGCGGGCTCTTTTCTCTATCGATTTTTTCCATGATTGATAATTCTCCTTTCACTTTCTCCGAACGTTGAATGACTAATTCTAATCTATTATGCCATGGTAGCTAGGAATAAAAAGATGATTATAGCAATCGGATCTATTCTATTATATAGAATAAATCATAAAACAGAGCCTTAATTTTCTGTATATACAAAAAATATGGATATTGACGCAATTCATTTCATTCTACTTTGTAATACTCAGGTAGATTTAGTTTTGTTTATCCTTTAGTTCACTCTTAATTAAGTTAAGATTAAGATTGGTGAATTTAAGGAGTTTTTTGCTTAAATAAGATTTGATAATAATTAACAAATATATCATCTGTATCATTCATTATAAAAGTAACATAACAGATTTCCTAAAGGAAAAACAAGAGAGAGAGAGAGAGAGAGAGAGAGAGAGAGAGAAAGAAAAGAAAAAGAAAGAGAGACCGAGTGATCACACATTATTTTGCATAAAACCTCTCTTATATGGGATCATAGATTCGTAGCAACTTACTTCGATGCTATGCAGAATGATTATGAATCTAAGCCAAGTAGATAAACCCATACAAAATTAACCATGCACCATCAGACGTTCCACCAAAACATCATATTTTATGTCATGCAAATAGTACTAAAGTCCCAAAACCTAAAATTAAAAAAATAAAAATCGGTATTAAGTCCATGTGACGTACAAGACCATGACCAGTTGCTGCCATCAATACCGAGCAACAATCCGTTCAAAACAGAAATAAAAGTTTCGGCGGAATTATTCAAGTTAAACCTCTATAAGACGAACAATTGATATCACCCCAAGAAAATGTTATATATATTATTACTACACGCACATTTTTGAATAGGATTTGTGATTTAAAATTATTATTTGTTTTTTGTTGCAACAAGTACGAGATACTCTCATGATGAAGGGAACATCAAATTAGAATTTAAAATAGTAGTGGTTTATAATCTAAACCAATTCTATGCCTGGATGGGCGCAGATGTAATTAAATTCATTACTTATTTTATAGAAATATGTATGCAGGCGAAATTAATTGAATTGAAGACAGAGTTCTCGCATTAAAACAGGACAATAAATCTGCTAAAAACCTATTATATATGAGGAAACTGGGGAGGCAGGCTTGGTATCGCTCTGCTATCCACTGCTGACTCAGCGCTCCTAATTTTTCTCCCATATAACCTAC